CCCTATATCCCACCCAGCCGCAGGACTCCACTGCCGCCCGCGCCCCGCCCCATCTGGCCGCTTGCGCGCCCCATCCCCCCTCGATGGGGCCCGCCCACACCGGGGCCTCCCCCCTCCCGCCCACTGCTTTTCTCAACGGCCCCGAGCCGGGGCTGCCCTCATTGCATACATAGTGCGCCTTTCCCTGCTTTTCTAGTGACCTAGCGTTCCGCACTGCCGTTTGGCCAGCCCATGCTCCCGTACCGTTGCGTTTCTCCCCAATGCGCCGTGCCACTTTGCCAGTCATACACACGTTTCGATGCGTGCCCTGTCAGCTGCTTGCGTTGCATGTCGCCTTGCTCCACCCCTGTTTTATTGCTTTCTCTGCTTTCGCCCGGTTCCCGTCCCGTTTCGGCGGGGAGTCTATGTTGCAAGCTAGTTCTTGCTTTACCAGACTTTAAGCCCACACAAGCAAGCAAGCACCCAGCCCAGCCAGGCCATCGAGTTGGGCAGGCCCAGCACACCCGCGCCCACCACCGCGCAGAAGATATGGGCGATGGCGGTGTTCAGTGTGCCTGCACACAATTTAAGTTGCAAGCAGGCACAACCACCAAACATGTGGGTGGTGACGCTGATGCAGCACTGCCAAAAACAGACAACACGGCTCTGAGCACCCAACGCAATCCTCAGCTCACCATGCTTCCCGTTGGGAATGACGGACCCGCCTTTTGCTGCACCGGCGGCCGTGGTTCCCACCATCGGTCTAGCTGCACAGCCCACAAACTGTACCAGGACCTGCAGAAGCAAGTCCCCAACAAAGCTGATGGTTCCGTGGGAGAAGAAGAAGAAGAAGAAGAAGAAGAAGAAGAGAATACGCGGGACGCGTGATTTGTACCTCGGCCGTACTGGGAGGAAACGGGGTGTCAAGCCTGGCTCCCGTGTGAAAAACAACGAGGGGGACAAAGGTGCAGGTCAGCCTGGATCGATCAGCCGCCGCCTCTTGACCGCCGCTGCCCGCCTCCCCGCCACCTGAGCCGGCGCCGCCGCTGCAGCTGCTGCTGCTGGCGCCGCTGCCGCCACCGCTGCCGCCGCCGTGGCTGGCCCCTGCCCCGCCGCTCCCCCTCCCCGCCCCACCCTCGTCATGGCGTCCGCAGCCGCCGCGCCCGCGCGGCGCTTCGCCTGCCTGGGTACATCCTGTGGTGCCTGCCGCTTGCCGCGGCGAGTCGGCGGGCGATCTGCTGTGCCATCGTTCTGCCTGCGCCGAGTGCGTCTGCAGTGGATTTGCATCAGGGCTGCCCTGGTGGGATTTTTTGCACGGGGTTGGTACGGTTGTACAAGCAGCAGTGGTGTCCAAACCAATGTCAGGTTTGAAATCAGCTGGAAGCAGGCGCACTCTTGATATTAGTTGAGTCCCAGTGCAGTCACTGGCTGCAGCCTGCTCCCTCGGCTGCCGTCACAGCAAACACCCTGCTCAGACGCTGCTCCCCGCCGGCGCCTCCTCCGCCCTGAACCGCTGCTGGTAGTGCTGCGGCCAGAGGTCGCCCCAGCGCATGCGGCGCGCCAGGCGGTAGGCGGCTGTGCCGCCCGCGTCGCGCTGCGCCGCCGCCTTGGAGACCACCTGCCGGAGCAGCACCCCGCCCGCCTGCTGCGGCTGCTGCTGCTGCTGCTGCTGCTGCTGCTGCACGCCGCCAGCGCCGCTGCCGTCGCCAGGGGCGGCCTGGACCGCGGCCGCGCTGCAGATGTCCAGCACGACGTGCCCGCTACGCTTGCGTGGCGTGCGGATCACCCGGGACCAGCCACCGCTGGCACGCAGCGCCGCCGCCACCGCCTCCGGCTCCTGCCGCGCCCAGTCCACGCTCTCTCCCGCCATCAGCAGGTCGGCAGTGGCCTCCGACACAGGCGCCAGCACCGGCGCCGCCGCCCTGCCGCTGTCGGCACCCCGGCTGGCGCCAGCCTCTACAGCTGCCTGGCGCCGATGCGCCGCCGCCGCCGCCAGCTCGTGCTGCAGGCGCACCGCCAGCTCAGCGCCGGCGCCGTCATCGTCATCGTCTGCATGCAGGCAGCAGGAGATCCAAACAACGAGCTGGGCACCCCAAACAGACATGAAACAGCCGGACCGGCTGAGCCAGCATGTGTCAGGCCACGCCGCCGCCCACAGGTTGGCAGCCCGCCAAGTCGACAGTCCGCCGCTTGCTCACCGTCTCCGCCCTGCAGCACAGACTCCAGCAGCAGGCGGCGGGTGGCCTCATCCACGCCCTCCAGCTGCTGCCGGCCCGCCGCCGCCGCCAGGCCCGCTGCCAGCCGCTGCTTCAGCAGAGGTGTGGTGTGGCTGGTGCCAGGCAGCTCCTCAAGCCGCACCTCCTCCTCTCCCTCTCCCTCAGCTTCGGTGTCACTCTCGCTGCTGCTCTCTGAGCTGCTGTCGCTGCTGCTGCTGCTGTCCTCGCTGCTGCTACTGCTGCTGCTGCTATCCTCGTCGTTGCTGCTGCGGCCCTCTGCATCTTCCCCCTCCTCCTCCCCCTCCTCAGCCCACCAATCGTCCGACTCTTCATCCTCCTCTACCCCACTTTCATCGTACAGCTTGATGGGAACCGCATCGGCTTGCACCTGCAGCGCCAGCGCGGGGCACTCCGCTCAGGCAGGCGCCCGGCCTGAACCCCTTGGGGCTGAACCGCGGGGCTGCGTGACGGCGCCAGGCACGCCCACGCCAGCGCCAGCCTACTGGCCTGCACGGTGCCTGACCTTGCGGGGCGCCAGGCGTTCCGGCAGAACCAGCGCATCCTGCGGGTCAGACAGGTCAGGCATGAAGGCGCCCGCGACCATCGGCTGCGCAGCCTCCTCGTGCGCCGCCGGCCGTGGCGCCCTGCGGCGGCAGCAGCGTTGGGGATGGGTGCCTTGCAGCGGCAGGGCAGGCGCGCTGCCGTGCCAGCCTGCCCGTGGCGAGCCGGCCGCAGGCCACATGCAGCGGGCCAGCGGCTGCACAGCCGGGCAGGAGCGCACTTGGCGAGGGCAACGTAGCTGTACCGCTCATCCTGGTAGGTGCGGGGCTGGATGCCGGCAGCGGCCTTGGCATTGCGCTGCAGCTGGGTGCGCTGCGGCAGGTGGGATGGCAGGGGATGGGTGCAGCAGATGAGGAGTGGCCAGTGGTCACAAAAATGAAGCATGTGAGCACACTCCCCAGGGACAGGTTCCGGAGCTGGAGCGGTGGCCACGCCCACACCGGCACAACCCACAGCGGCGGCGGCGCCCTCGCCCCATGCTGTCCTGTTACCCCAGCTGGCAGCTTGCCTGGAAGCGCTGCACAAAGTGGCACCAGGAGGTGCGGGTTTCCAGCGGGCACACGCCGTCGTGTGGGCAGGGCGCCACCACGTGCGCCGCCGCCTCTGGTGGGGCCCCCTCCGCCTGCTGCTGCTGCTGCTGCCGCCGCCGCGCCGCCGCCTTCAGCAGCTGCGTGCGCGCCCTCTGGATGTGCGCCGCCCCGGAAGGAGTGCCCGGCTCCACCAGCACCAGCACGCCCCCGGCCGCGGTGCGCTCCCAGAGCTCTTCCACCAGCCGCCTGCGGGAGGCGCGGCAGCACAGGGGATTGTGGAGTTGTGGAGGGGCTGGCGCAGCCAGCAGGAGGCAAGCCAGGCAGGCCACACTGCACAGTGCGGCGCTTCATCCGCGCATCCGCAGCGCAGGCAGTGTGGCCACACGCCAAGGCTCAGAGCTTCCACAGGCGCAGCCGCCTCGCCTGCGCTCCGCATCGCCCCGCAGCTCCCCCAGCACGTAGCCAGCTGTGACCAGGTCGTACCGCCGGCCCTGGGCCGCCCGGTACCGCGGCGGCAGCTTGTGCATCCACCGCAGCCGCGGCGGCGGCGCGGACAGCCCCTCCGCATCCTCCTCTTCCCTCCCCGCTGCTGCTGGCACGGCTGCCTCGGCAGGCCCTGCAGGCCCCAGCTGCTGCTCGTGCAGGCCCCCCTCACTGCTGCCGCCAGCAGCATCGTGCGCCGCCGTCGCCGCCTGCTGCACCGCTGCCTCGTACTGCTTGTGCTGGCGCTGCTGGATCTCATGCCCCAGCCAGGACATGGCTGCCGCAGGCTCCACCGCCAGGGCATCCAGTGGCTGCTGCCGCCAGACCTGCTGCGCGGCCCAGACGGCGGTGGCGGGGCCCGCCCCAAAGTCCAGCATGCCAGCCGGGCGCCAGCCTGGCCGCCGTGCCGCCACCTCACCCAGCGCCGCCTCCAGCGCGGCGTAGCAGGCGGGCATGCGGCTGGCGGCATAGGCCAGGGCTGCAGGGGCGTCGTAGAGGGAGCCGCCGTCGGCGATGCTGCTGCGCGCAGCGAGCGCCTGCCGCTCCGCCGCCGCCTGCGCCGCCTCCTCCGCATTCACCACATCCTGCAGCGGCGCCAGCAGCTGCGCCAGCCCGGGTGCCTTGCGGGCCTCCACATCCACAGGCAGCGCCGCAGACCGCGTCAGCTGCTCCAGCACCTGGTGACGGCTCTGGCGCCGCTTGCCGCGGCTGCGCCGCCGCGCCGCCGTCGCCGCCTCGTCCTCCTCGCCCGCCGCCGCCTGCTGCGACAGGTTGGGGTGCACGCCGCCACGGTGCTTGCTGCGCGACATGTGTCGCAGGCGGTAGCTGAGCTCCTGACCCCGCCGCTTCACGGCCTTGCGGTTGGCGTCTGCGGCAGGAGAGCAGGAGGCGTGGGTCAGAATGAACAAAATCGAGCTGTGGTTGGCTGAGTTTGACTTGCACTTTTCACACCACAAAAACCCAGTAAACCCAGTGGGCACCCTGCCCACGGCCCTGCTCACGCACCCGCTGCTGCTTGGTCGACGGCGGCAACCACGTCGGGCGGCATCACCGCCAAGCCAGGACCCCTCTGGCTGACCAGCAGGGCCACCTCCGCTGGAATCACCAGCGCCTGCTGAGTCGAGCTGGCTGTGGAGCCGAGCCGCGCCAGCGACCCCTGCAGCCGCAGGATGGCATTCCGCCGCAGCAAGGCCGCCATATCTGGGCCCCGAGACCAGCCCACAGCGAACCCTGATACTGCCAGACGTCGGCTAAATGGTGGATTGGGGTCTTTCGGTCTCTCTCGGGCACTGGCAGCCCAAAATTGACAGCTCAGCAGTGGGCTCGAAGTATGCAGTCTGCCAGACCCCAGGGACCTCAGCGCCGTGGCAAAGTTCGTAGAGTCTCCACTGAACCTGCCACACTGATCCAGCCTGCTGGGGCGCTTGTCCAATTGCTGTGTGGAAGGACTTCTCACATACCGAGTACGCAGGTAGACCGTGCTCCTCCCAGAACAACCTAAACTGCGGCCACTTGCCGCCGCCACTGCTACCGCCGCCGCCCGACGCCTGCCGCTCGTCGCCGGCCTTGCTGCCGCGCAGGGCTGTGCGTCACTCCAGCCCTAGGATGGGCAACGACACCAGGGGCCTACCCAGCCAGACGATCCAGGAGCTTGCCGCGCGGCTGGCCACGCTGACCGACCTGCGCCTGCCCGCGCAGCTGCGGCGGCAGGAGCAGGGGCCTTCGCCGCAGGAGCGGCTGCGGTACCTGACGCAGCTGCTGCTTCACGACCCGGGCGTGTTCCTGGAGCGCCACGGCTCCTCGCTGACGTCCTCGGAGCGGCTGCACTTCCACAGCCTGAGGGGCGACTATGAGGTCGACTTTTACTTAAAGATGCTGGAGGAGCAGGAGGACCAGCACAAGCGGGAGACGGTGGCGCGCAACCGCCGTCTGGCATACATGAACCGGTGCGCTGGTGGCACTGGTGGCGCTGCTGCTGCAGCTGCTGCTGCTCTTGCGGTGGCGCTGGCTGGGCAGCGGCGCGGCTGCCATCGGCTGCTCCATGCGGCTTGCTGACGAGGCGTGCTGGCCACGCCCGCTGCCCCGTGCAGGTTGGTAGAGCAGGGGGCTTACTTCAGCGAGAAGGAGATGCGGGAGCGGCAGCCCGGCATCTACCATCAGTACATTGGGCAGTACCGGCCGCCCGAGCCGCCTCAGGGTGCGGGGTGGCACTGCCTGCATGCTGTCGGGCTTGGTGCGTGTGGGGCCTGCTGCTGCTGCTTGCCCAGGAAGCGCCGTTCTCGCCTGGCCTGGGCTGATTTGGCCGGCTGCGATGGGTGCCCTCTGCAGGCGGCGAGGGCTGCCAGGCGGGGACCATCCTGGCTGAGAGTATCATGCGGCAGCAGGAGGAGCTGGCCATGCGGCAGCGGCAGGCCTCGGAGCAGCGGCAGTGGGACCAGGTTGAGGAGGAGAGCGAGGAGGAGAGCGAGGAGGGGGCCAAGGAGGGGGGGAAGGAGCCAGCAGCGGCAGGGGGGCAGGCGGCAGCTGATGGACGGCGACAGCAGCAGGAGGCGCCGGCACCAGCAGCGGCAAGCGTCCAGCATGCAGCTGCGGCAGCTAGCGTAGCGCAGGCGGGTCCACCCGGGGACGAGGAAGAGGAGGCAGCGGCGGATGACCCGGGGGAGGGCCCCAGCCATGTGATCATACCAAAGGAGGAGCAGCAGGAGAACGACGCTGCCTTCCTCGACATCATGCAGCAGCGGTTTTTGGCGGGGAGGGATGCGGGGGTGGACTATGCGGCTATCGACGCAGGTGGGGCGGCCGGCTGGCGGCGCTGGGCGCTGCCGCTGGCGGCTGCTGCTGGTTGGGACTTTGCGATGGGTGGCTCGTGTCCCTGCACGCGCTTTGCACCTGTCGGGCCATGCTGCGCGCCATCTTGCCCGCCGTCCTGCCGCCACTTGCCCGCAGATGCCGAGCTGGACGAGGATTGGGCGGAGCAGGCGGGGCGGGATGCTGAGGACAAGTATTTCGATGACTGACCGGCTGCGCTGGCATGGTGGACAGCACTAGAATGTCGTCTTGCGTGTCCCCTCCTGCTGCAACCCGGCTGCGTCTCGGCACTTACAACATTGGCATGCGGCGGCGTGTGCAAACATAGTCGAGCCATGCAGATATCAGGGCCTGGTCAGGGCGAGGCAGAAGGCTGGGGCTGGGCGCTTTCAGGAGGCGGCGGGCGATGCCGCGTAGCCCTCTGCCGCCAGCAGCGCCTCCAGCTGCCGCTCGCGGTCAGCGGCGTCTGCGAACCGCGCGCGCCGCCCGTGGCCCGGCAGCACGTGCAGGAAGTCGAGGCGGCGCAGGGCGGCCACGCTGGCCAGCTGCAGCTCCACGCTGTGCCAGTTGTAGGCTCGGAAGATGGTCAGGCGCTGCATGCGGTGGCTCCACGCCAGGTGGTCGCCCGTGAGCAGCGCCTTGTCGGGGCGGTACAGCAGGCTCACGCAGCCGGCGGTGTGGCCCGGCGTGAAGACGAGCTGCACGTCGCCGCCGCCGTCTGGCAGCGCCCAGGGCCCCTCCCCCTCCAGCACCACCTCACACTGGCTGCACGCGCAGACAAGGGGAGCGAGGGAGGGGTGGGGTGGCGCCGGTAGGTCGGGAGACACCTGGCGGGTGCGTGCCGCTCCGACCACCGCCCGGCTGGCCAAGCACGCCCGAGCTGCCCCGGCTGCACAGCCAGCTCACTCTGTGCCCTGCCTCCGGTTGACCTCCTTGGCGTGGATGATGCGCTGGCAGGCCGGGAAGTGGGCGGCCCAGGCGGCGTGGTCGCTGACGTCGTCGCGGTGGGTGAGGAAGACCCAGCGCACGCCGCCCAGCTGCTGCAGGCGCTGCGCCAGCAGCGGCGTCCAGCGGGGCACGTCCACCAGGAGGTTGCCCTGCGCCGCGGTGCAGGCAGCAGAGTGTTTACAAGTTGATAGGCGCACATGCAAGCATGAGTTCATGCGCTAGCTGTGCGCTGCAAGCTGGGCCCAGGACCATGCAGGCGGCAGGCGCCACCCCCACCTCTGGCCGCCGAATGAAGTAGGCGGTGGCGCCAAACGACCGCTCCGCGGCAAAGCCGGTGTGGAAGACGCTGTCACAGCCAGGCACTGGCAGCGGGAAGCTCTGCTGCACCGCCTTGAGCTCGCCGGGCTGGCGCTCGCGGACATGGATGGAGAAGCTGCACAGAGGGCAGGCAACGGCGGGTAAGCAGCAGCAGCATACATCTGTGACAGCGGACAAAGAGCAGCGCCAGAGGAGGCGCGGCGGCACCGGCGCATGCCAGCTGCGCTCTCGGCGTGGGCATGTGCCATGCGGCCGGAGCCCAGCAGGCGGGAAGCGAGCTCACGTGGGGCAGCTGAGGAGGGCTTGCATGGCGGCCTGGCGCTCCGCCGCGCTCTGCGGCTGCCGCACCACCGCCGACATGTCGCCCACGCTGGCAAAAGTGGCCGGGGCCATCCAGCGGCAGGTGTCGCAGTCTATGCACGTGTGGTCCACAAAGAAAGGGCCAGGGCTGTTTTCAGGGCGCGGCGCGCGAAGGGCGTCGCTGTCGTGGCGCCGCCCGCCTTGGGCTCGCGCCGCCAGCCGCTGGCGGCGGCGGGGACCAGCGGGAGGGCGGCGGGGGCCGGCGGCGGGGGGCGGTTTCGAAGCTGTCGCCGAGATCATTGTCGCAGCGCAGCGTGCTACTGGCGGCACCACGCTCCAGAGAGGCCGCGAATAGGGGAATGTGCGCGCCATGTCTGCTGCCTGCTAACAAAGACATCAAAACAAAAACAGAAGAGTGCCTAAATGCTGCGATCAGGGGATGATAGTGATCTCACCTAAGCTTTTGGACTCGGCGGCAGTACCTCCGGTGGCGCCGCCTTGGAGCCGCCCTGGATGTGCAGGTTCTGTTCTTTACAGGCACGAGAGAGCAGTACAAGGGGACCGAGATCGTAAACTCATGTGCAGTCCAAGTACACAGTTGGGCCGGCACGAGGCTTGGGCCCCGCCGTCGCCGCCCTTCCGCGCCGCCTCACCGCAGCTCCCCCCACCCTTTGCCCGCCTGCTGCGAGCCGGTGCCAAAGGTGCCCTGAGACCTGCCGCCGGCGCCGCCCCCGGTGCCCAGCATGCCCGGGCCACCCACACGGCGCCTACCCGCCGGCTGCTGCGGCGCATCCTCATCATCTGCACAGCAACAAGCACACAAAGCGGGGGGCGACGGCTTGCATGGATGTGCGGTATCCATCGCGCCGCGGTGTGCCCCACTTTGCCAACAATGCCAGCCAGCGGTGCCTGCCAGCCAGCCATGCACAAAAGAATACGCCCCCACCTGACACCACAAAGCTGGTGCCGCCCGTGTGCTGCGACCCTGCGGCGCCGCCTCGCCGCCTGCTGCCGCCCGTGGGCGGCGCGCGCTGCTGCGGCGGCGGCGGCTGCTGGTGCCCGCGCTTGCGGCTGGTGCTGGGCCGCTCCGGCTCCTCCTCCACAAGATCATCTTCTGCACACACAGCGCCAGGTCAGCAAGATAACGGCGGCAGCAGGCGGCAGCAGCAATGTGGATACAGGCGCAGCCATGGTGGCACTCGACAAGCTGGCACAAAGCGGCGCGCTGTGGGGCGCGCAGCGGCCCACGCCGCCGTGCAGACCTGAGTCTGAGATGTCGTCTGAGACGCCGCCTGCCTCTGAGTCCAGCAGGTCAACCATCTCCACCTCATCACCCTCATCACCCTCATCCTCCTCGGGGATGGCGTGCCTGGGGGACGGCGGGCGGCGAGAGGGATGGGGCAGGGGAGGAGCGGTGGCGGGAAGGCACGATGTGGCGGGGCAGGTCGAGGCAACGTGCCAGAGCCGTCACTGGGCCGGCCAGCAGGTGGCCAGCGCTGTCCTCGACCAGGCTACTACGACACACCAGGCGCCACCCCTCCCACACAGCCGCCCACTCACTTGTACGTCGCCTTGACCTTCTCCTGCGCCTTGGCAGCTGCCGCGCGGCTGCTGCCCCGCCGCCCCGCCGCCACCCCCACCGTGCTCGAGTTGTCCCCTTGCTGCGTGCCGCGGCCGCTGGTCGTCGTCAGGTTCAGCGGGCTCTGCCGGCTGCCGCCCGTCAGCTTGGCCTGCTTGCCGCGCCCAGTCGCTGCCGCCGCAGCACGCTTGGGCGCCGCCGGGGTCGCGCGCGGCTTGCGAGCTGCGGGCAGCGCGTGCAGCAGGCCAACAGCAGCAGCGCTGGCATGACCATGCATCAGACAAGCCGGCCTGGATGCGCGGCGACCAGCAGGGGGTGCGGAGAACAAGAGGGCGGGCTCAAGCAGCACCGCTGGCAGCCCATCCCAGGCCCCACCTGGCGGCGGGCCCATGCTGTTGGAGGGCCCGTGCCCATCCGCCGCCAGATCGTCCATGTCATCCAGCTGCAGGGCGGCAGAGGGAGGGAGGGGGGCGAGAGAGGGAAAGCAGGTGCCCAGCTGCTCAAGCGGTGGTCGTGGATGGCAGCGGCGACACGCCCTGCCGTGCATGTGGGCAAACGTGCCGGCGGGCAGGGCGGCAGGTTGCGGGAAGCAGCCAGGGCAGCCCACCTGCATGCCGGACACGCCATTGGCGAGGTTGGCTGCCGCCGGCTGCTGCCGCTGCTGCTGCTGCTGCTGCTGCCGTTGCTGCTGCTGCTGCTGCTGCTGCTGCCGTTGCTGCTGCTGCTGCTGGTGGTCGCGCTGGGCCTGGCTGGCCCTGTGCGCCGCGCTGGCCGCTGCCTGCTCCTTGCGCTGGTGGCTCACGTCTACATGGTGGGGAGGGGGAGAGGGCGGAACCCCACCCAAGAGCTGAGGAGCTCGGGGCACGCGCCGGCAGCCGGTGAAGGACGCTGCTGGACAGGCAGCGCCCAAGCCCGTCTCCTTGTCGCCCCTCCAACAGCCACCCCCAGCCAGAGCGTGCGCGCGCACACACACACACACACACACACATGGGCCGCCGCCACCCCGCCCTCACCCATGATGACGTTCATGAGGTCTGCGTCCTGCTCCACCTGCGTGGCCCGCTCATCCCGCAGCGTCTTGCTCTGCTCCCGGGGCGGGACGGGGAGGGACAGCCGTGAGGGGCGTGGGACGCGTGCAGGTGCTGGGGGCCCACCTGGGGACAGCGCGGCACGTGGGAGGAGCCGGCCGGCGGCGCGCGCCGACGTGCGCGCAAGCAGCCGCGCCCCGCCTTGCACGCAGTGCACCCGGCGCGCCCACACACACACACACGCCCACTCACCTGCGTGTCCAGCAGCGCCCGCTCCACCGCCTCCTTCATGCTCTCCTTGTTGTCCTTCTCCACAAACTCGTGCAGAGCCTCAGTCAGATCCTGCAGCGGAGGGAGCACGCAGGGGAGCACACAATGTGCGGCAGGGCTGGGTGAATGTGTGGGCCACGAGGGGGGTGGGTGGGTGGGTGGGTGGGTGGAGATGCAACCCAAGTCGCGCCGGCGCCTGCGCCCCCAACTCCACACCCCAGCCGTGCCGTGCTCCTGTGGGCCGCACACCCACATGCCTGCACCTCTCCTGCCCGCGCCCCCCCCCCCCCCCATCAC